CAGGGCTAATAACAGCAAATTTCTTTTCACAATTAAGCGAATATTGTTTTTTCTCTGCTAACGGAGTGCCTGGTCCACATGGCAACGTACTTATTAGCTAATTACGTGTCGTTGACTGCTCTGTTTTATTTTCCCATGACAAGAGGACTGTCATATTATGTTACGTCTTGCTGGGATATGGAAAAATATTCATTTCTACAAGTGAACAGCGACAGAGTCAGGAGGAAATTGTATAGGGGTAGAACTTAAAGGGGAATATAATGCAACGGTGCCTTTACGTCGAAGCAAAAAGAAATATAGCAAGTGAAATCATCACTGAATACGAAAGTCTAAGTGTAAACAACACTTGCGAAGTATAAGTAATTGCAAAACTGAGTTTATTATATAAAGCAAATGAACAGTGCTCCGAGCAGATAAGACCGCTGAATAGTGAGAGTTCGATCCTGGTTCGAATCCAGGGGAACGAGCTGTCCGCATTGTTAATATTCGAGACTTTTTCCATGCGTGAAGTGCATACGAGCCAGTTTCCCTTAAAAAATCCTATACAAAGGCGTTCCTTCTTCTAGGCAGATAGCCTTCGTGTGCTTTATCCTCAAATAACTTAACCTAACTTAAATGTAACGGAACAATGATTATGCAAAATACACATGAAATAAAAATAACTTTTAAAATTACCATCTAAGACCATATCTACATTACAAGATAGCTAATCATAAATACGTATACACTAATTTCAAGTTAAACCTAGTACACATCTTAAGGATGATACATATCATAGGTAGAAGAGAATACGTGTATGCTAGATGTTTAGTATTTTAGCTTGAATATGATATAAAATGAAAGCGGCAATGGAAGTAGATAAATGTGCATTGTCACTACTAATGCTAAGACAATATTAAAAGTATTAATTAGTTACATTGCTAATGGATATATAACCTGAAATGAAGTTAAGCATGTTACATCGAACACATTAAACATGCAATGCACTTAATTATAAAATGAAGATCTGTGTTTTGTTTAATTTTGATTATTTTATAATTTATGAGTTGTTTTGAGTTAACGAAGCATAATAAAGGATGCCACTTATAAAATACCAAATGTGCAAATATTCCATGAATGCAATTGTTGAAAAACAGGAAAGCTTTTTGTGTTAATTTATAAAAAAATAAATATACTTTTAAAACAATCTCTGACTTAACCTAGTACCGAAGTTATCCAATACGCGTAATAAGATAATCAGAAAAACTACCTACCATGGGAACTGTTAACTAATATTTTGATTAATTATACAAGTATAATATGTTCAAGTCCTAGTCATAATGTAGAGACATTAGGATTTTTTGAAAGCAAGAGACTTGAAACATGAGCAAACGCCTTCGCCGGGAATTGAATCGTGGCCCTCTGGAGTACGCTCCCAGCGTGCAGGCCGCCACACCAAGAAGGCGAGAGAAATACCTTATAATAGAACCAGAAATAATAGGTAATTCGAAATTAAAGTAATTCGAAAAATTAATTCATCGCCAATAACAATACTTTCTACTTTTTCTGAAGGCTCAATCTTCTACCGATAAGAAATCTTAGAAATAATTTCGAGTCTTAGGAAAGAAAATCTGTCACCAGCAGTTTATAATACTACGATACATCTGCGGGATAAGTAACCTGAAGATAAATCGAAGCTTTCCGTAATCTGTGCCCATTTGGGAGAACTTGTAAGACTTCTTTCTCAGTGTCTTTCTCTTCCCTACCTTCAATTCTGATGCGAATCGAAGATATAAAAAAAAATTCTTTGTTTTCCATTATTTAATACTCCACATTTTCATGTTATCCAGTCAGGATGAAAATATCCAGTCACGTACAAATATTGTATTTTATAATAATAAAGCCATACTCATTCTAAATTTTATTTTGACTAATAAAACTTTAATATATCAAAACACGTACTATATATTACAAATATTTTTCTATTTTAAACACTACAATTTTATACATGATAAATGAAAACGTAATAAAGGCTCTTAAATGGAAGAGAAGCATGCCAATATAAAAATTAGAATTAGACATAAAAGCAACCGTACGATTCTGAATAAAATTAGATTTGGCATTATACATAAAATTTATATCAATTTGCTTTAACGCCTATTTCAATGAATGCAAGTCAGTTTTCTTGTGTATATTAAAAAATACATAACAATATTTACGCGATTAGATGAAAAAGGTAGTTAGCTCTTTTTTTTGGGGGGGGAAGAAATTGGAGAATAACTTTGAGGAATAAGCTCGAAAATCTCTGGATGTCGAACACAAAAAATTGCACAAATTATCTTTAAATCAACTCTTACAGCATTATTTGTAGCCTACTGCTTATATAGTGATAAATATTGTGCATCTATAAAAGAAAAGCCAATGATCATTAATTTGGCTTTATTGTCCTATTATTTTTTGTTCAGTTCCTTGTGTATGTAAAAATAAAAGAAAGGTTTCTAATTGAAGGATTAAAATACACATGTCTCTAATGGCACTAATTGCACTTTTGTATCAATTTAAGATTGCTATTCAAAATGAAACTAATGAATTCTACTGATTTAAAATTGTAAAGAGCTTTCTTATACACGATGGAATACTTATGTGATTTGTCAATTTTTTATACTGCATGATATTAATAAGATATGAAATATACCGCTGTAAATTTCTTCATGTGAGATTTATCGTAATTTCCTCTTTCTAAATCCTAATTTTTATATAACGTTTCGCTTTCCACTATTTTTCGTTTAAACCTATAACTGAATTTTTTAGCCAAATATGTATAACAACAATATGCAACGATGCTCAATGTATCTTACTGTAATTAACCATTTGTTTTTTTGTAAGCAGGTATGAAATCTCATAAAGTAAACGTAACAGATTTCACCAAGCCAATTGGTTAAGACAAAGCAGAATTTCATTTTCCTATAAACATACTCATCAGAATTATTTTCTAAGACTTGATAATTCTAGCGACATCTGATTGTCGTTCTAGAAGCCTCAGTTGAGAAGCCCTGAGTTATATGAAGCAACACAAAGTAATTATTGAAAGCATTTCTTGTTTGTAGCTTTGTCGGATACACATCTTCTCTAATCCAACTTTATCCCTTTATTACGTCTCTCTTTGCATTTGTGGGGGCTCAGTTTTCAATTCGTTTCTTTCTCTGGCGTTCTGTATATGTCTATAGATATACAGAAAAGGAAATATGCATACAGTCTACGGAAATACGTGTATTCTCAAATTCGAGTATATGTAGAATATTTTGTAAAATATACACTTCATGTCTGTAAGAAACCATCAGTTTGGGGTATAAATATTGAGAACTTTCCATTTGTTTCCTTCCTTAATATGAAACATTGTAGGGAAACTACAGAAAGCAATATAAAAATATAACTTTATTCTATGAAATATTAATAACAGGTCAAAGAAAAATTTATATTCCCGGAATTATAGTTTGAAATACAATTGTTCGTTTTTTAATTTACATAAATGGAAATGAAACTCATTCTAAATTTTAAATTTTAGACGGATCTAGCCTCATTTCAATTCATTTCACATGAAACAAAATCCTTTCACTACAAATTGCTATGTAGAGTGAAGACAAAACAGATTCATATTTTCTCTTGTTCGGACAACAAACAGGTACGAAATTTTCTTATCTGAATTCGATTATGTATTATAATTATAACTCTAAATAAAATTTCTTGCGATGAAATACTTATAATTTTTGCATTCATAAGCATTTCTTACAACCAGACTTGGGAATTTAAATTAATCGTTTCTAATCTGAGCCTGTAACTGAAAATGCATGTTCTTCACTGTTTTTGTGTCACTGTATATGAAAATCTTGTGCTAATGGTACAAAAATTCATTCTAAATTCTAAAAATAGCAAGCTATAAGAATCAATTTTAATTGATGTTCATTTCAACACAGTCACATATCGAGAGCGAAAAATTGACCCTTTTTTTTCTATAACACGCAAGGTTACTAATAGACTATTTATAGAAGCAATCTATAAAATACTAAAATACTTAAAATGAAGGAGTAAAATAGAACATCTAATTATTTTTAAAAATTCCAAAGATAAGGAATCTGATTTCTACAAGTTTTAAATTTTATAGAATTATATTTGCAGCTTTACAGCTTTATTATAAAACAGCAAAAAGTGAAACAACAGAAATGCATTGAACGATTTAGCTCGACTTCTAAACAGAAACCCGTTATCCGACGAATCAATAGAATGTGCAAGGTTTAAAGTGCAAATCAAATACAATTATCTTTTCGAAGTGATTAAGATTAAAGGAAAGAGAAATATAAAACATTTCAACTGTTCACAACACCCAACAAACTGTTCACATTTTGCATCTTGTTTACATTTTCATTATTTTCCGCTATTAAAACGGGTCTTTTTTTAGGCAAAACATTTTTTGTGATAATGTACTACTATTTTTGCTGGTGGTAAATCGTAGTAGTTTGATCACTAATGAATGTAAACAGGGTGAAATTTAACTAATTATCGATTTACAGGCATACTCAAACTGAATTTTCTGTATTTATGAAGAAAATAGGATAAATTCTAGTTCACTGCTGCCAGAGGAACTTAGAAAAATCTTAGAAGTATTTAAGTTGAAAAAAATAAGAGATTTATTTAATTATGTTGCATAGTTTGTGAAATGAACTAAAAGAACGAACGTAAATATATATAAAGTTAAGAAATGAATAAATGTAAGTATTCCAACAACCGAAGTTCTAAGTTTTAAACAGGAATTTAAACACTATAAGTTTCAAAAGAGTTTTCACTATCGTCACATGAAGTGGAAAAGTGTTCTTAAAATATAGAATTACAGTATATTATTCAGTAAATTATTCTAATTTCAACACTGCAATAAAAAGCAAAGAATATAAACAGCTTATTATGAAGCTCAGTTTTCAAATTTGACATGTAATAATTATAAATGACAAGCAGAGTTGCTAACTTACCTTTATCCATTTCTTGTTCATTGCATATATTTGATTCTCCAGAACGAGGAAGAGCATTTAAACCCATGCACTGAAGAAGTGGAGAACCCAGAATGAAGTGGAGAATGAAAATCGGTAGCATTACAGTTGCATATGAAAATATTAAATAGCGAATAATTTCTTTCTCTGATAAAGAACTTTCGCATAATAGTAATTGAAGTCGCACAACTTGAGAAGGGTTATCCACAGGGGTCATTGACCATCCAGACGAAGATGCATTACCAGATTTTGAAGCCACGTCGGTGAAAAATCTTTTGCCGTCATCTTTTCGAAGCATGTAACCTCGAAAGAGAATGATAACTGTTGTATAAAATCCCAACATAAAAGTGAAGAATTTATTTTTTGCAATAGTTGAAAAATACCATTTTTCATTCTTTTGTGGCACGTGAATGGAATGTAAAATCCAGTTTAAGAGAACGAAATTATGTAGGATGATAGCAATAATGTATGTAGATTTTTGCATCCAACACAAGTATCCATTATCTAGCATAAAGTTCACCATATCAATGTTTACAAGCAGTAGAAGTAACGACTGTGGGATCAAACCTAGAAGGTAAATAACACCAGACACAGCAAAATATTTTCTTTGGAGTTCTTGATCTGCCACAGTTCTTGTCAAGTATCGAATCAGCATCCACATCCCGCTGCAGATGAGCACCAATCGAAAAACAGCAATCGCATTTGCGAGGACAGCAATCCAATCCATCTCTTGTAAATTGTATTACGTCCATTAGCACATATGAAAAATTCTGTAATTTGAAAGAATACTCAGGATTAAATTCGGTCCATTTTAACAGCATATAGTGATAAAAATTAGCGAATTTTACGCAATGCTTATTTCCCTATATCAATACCTCTCTGTATCCCTCAAATTTTACGGTAAATGGATTTGTAAGCAATGACATTCTTCTTTGAACCGTAATGATCTTTGGATCTGCTATTGTTTAAGTAGGCGAAGATAAGAAATGAGTCATGAGAAAACTGCCTAGAGGTTATTTGAGAAAGGAAGTTAACAAATTGAAATTAACTCTAAAGAACTGTCTGACATAAAGCCCATTTTTATTATAATGACCTCCAAAGAGAATTATATTTAGAAAGAGAACGCTCTGGATGTGAAAATTGTCAAAGATAGCTGCATAATCATGAGAGTTTTATAATCTTGTTTAGCTACAGCAACCGCCTTTGAACTTGAATAATGCGCCCAAATTCCCTGCATTAGGTACTACAAAGTGGCAGTAAAATTTTATTGCGAAGATCACTAAGAACATATGGAAACGCATTGTTTGGAGAAATATTTGCTTCAAATTTTACGACTTTGGCTATTTTTCATTTTTCTGTTATTCGACGTTTTGAAGTTGGTAATCAAAACGTTCCGAGACAGCGAAACTGTTGTATTACGTTTTAAATTTATATTAAGAATAATTGGATAAATATGTTTATAAGGGAGAATCCAAAATAACAGTTTTCTCTTACATATCTTTGGATAAATTTAACGTCAAATAGGCAGGGGGAAAATTTTTATGCAAGGCTGCATAACGACTGTAATAATAGAAAAACTAAAGGAATACCTGTGAAACAATCAAGTTTCTCGCATTGTTATTCTGTTCATTCTGAATACTTTCTGATGTTCTATAAATAAATACCTGTACTTTTTATAAAATGCAAAGGATTTATGAAATTGCTAAAATAACACATAGCATCCAACATATAAAGGCACATAACGTATGATTATGTAAATGCCCAAGAAAGGAAATGAAAAGGGAAAATATTTTAATTTTTCGCCAAATAATAATCTGAATTTTATTTCCTTGTACGAAGTAAAAGAAGTATTGTAATCGCGACAAAATTCGGGCATAATATTTCAACAGAAACAGTTATTTTGACCGTTTCCAAATATATTTGAATGATCTTTTTGCGTGACGTCTGTACGTACACACGAATTTTTCCAAATACAAAATTCATATTTTTGGTCCAAAATGGATTGCATTTTTTTTGGTGAAGTCTGATAGGTATGTATATATGTATCTGCGTATCTCGCGTAATTCAAAAAGGATTAGCCTTAAAATGTTGAGATTTTGTATACGAGACTGCTATAATATCTAGTTGTGCACCTCCTTTTTTATTGCAATTGGTATAACCAAACGTATGCATACACATCCCCTTACCTGACATTTGTTCTTACCCGGCCTTTGTTTTTGCAATAGTTGGATATAGTCATATACTTCCAATAACAGAAGTGTTTTAAATGACAAAAATATCCCAGTTTTGATTCATGTTCAGATTTTTAAAGAAATTAGTTTTCGAGAAATAATGAAATTTAACTTTTTTAATGCTGTCTCCCGGTTCCATACTTGCATTTAGCAAAGTGTTATACTCATTATGAAAAAATAAAATTAGACAAAGTTCAACTCCTATACTATAAAAATTGACTTGGATATTTAATTTCAAAATTTGCAACTTGTTAATTAAGTTGGTTGGAGATCAGTTAATTAAGTTTGAATAATTCGAGGAAATAAATTTAAATAAATTGCAGCAAATAGTGTGTATAATTTAATAGTCCGTACAAGAAAGTCATGTGGTGACCACATCAAATTTTTTTATAAATAAAAATAAAATTTTTTATAAACTATTTTTATTTACATTTTTTATAATGTTTTTTATAGCTGCAATTTGCCTTTTATTTAAGAAAAGCTTGATTTTTAATTGTGAATTTTATTTTTAGGAAATCTGGAAGTGATAAGGTCCAACTCTATTCATCCTAAAACTTATTCCATATCAAGGTATCAAGTTCTTATAGTCTTTAAATATTTTTCTATGAAGCTTCTAAATTACATATAACAAATTATATGCTTCTTTCAATTATTACACCGTAAACTCTTCTGTGTACAGTTCAAAAATTTATATTTACAGTTCTTAAATAATCTTAGTTAGTTCAAGATATGCATGTCAAATTAAACATAAATTACTGAATCGCGTGACTCGATACAGATTGTCATATGTACATCAAAACTAAGCTTTTCGTGTACAAAATTAAGATAATTTGCAAATTCTATCCATTTTTCACGAAACGTATTGAACCAAAGGTACTAATTATGCCTCCGAAGCATTATGTAAATATTCAGAGTCGAATGCGTAAGCATAGATGTGTGTGTCTTCGGAGCTGTGATTGTGGAGGGGATATAAGCACACGAGGCGGTTTTCGGCTATTTGTGGGTTCGTAGTCCTTCACTTTCATTTGCTAAGTTTCTCGCAAGAGCTAGGTAAATTTCATGACTAATCGCAAATGTATGGATGATGAAATGAGATGGATAGTTGTAGGTAAATTAAAGACAGGTCTATCACAAGCGCAGGTGGCTCAATGTAACGCCCAGTATCGGCTGAAATTTGTGAAAACAGTTTCAAGATCCTGGATCCATATCGAGAAGACCTGGACAAGGTCGACCAAGATTCAAAACGACGAATGAGATTCCTTATTCCACACTTTCCTCTCAGCGGCACAGGACAGCTACAGCTTCACAGATCACTCGTGAGCTGTATGCTACCACCGCAATCCGAGTTTCATGATCTACTGCTGCCCGAAGACTTCATGAGGTACAGCTCTATGCCAGAAAAACCTGCTGCTTGCGCCCAACTTCCAGAAGCACACAAGAAAGTGAGCTTATCATGGCGCAAACAATATAGTTCCTGTACCAGACTTCATTGGAGTACCCTGCGTTCTACAGGTGAGTCGAGATTCAGTCTGGGCATTGATTTTCAGCGTACCTTTATCTGGAGAAAGCCTGGAATTATACTATATCTTCTTCATCAACGAAAAAGATCATTACGTTGGTGGAGGTTTAATGGTTTGAGCAAGCATTATGTTGGATAGGCGCATACCCCTGCGTGTGTTTGATAAAGGCTTTTGTGTTTGATAAAGATTTTGGACAACCCTGTAGAATAAGCTTCACCGATAACCACGCTTACGAAAGTTAGCGTCGAATAGTATATCTCTTTCTCTATTTTAAATGTACATTCATACTAAATTTGATTTTTTAAAAAAAACCTCTCAATTTTTTTTCATAAATTCGACATAATATATAAATTCTCTTAATTTTAAATACAAGATTATTTAAATCAACAATAAAAATGAAATGAAATTGAAGTTTCACGAACTTACAGGATTTTATTTTTCCGTATTGTATAATTTAAAGCTGCGTGAGTATTCGTATTTTTTATACAATTAGTGTTACTCTTTCAATCTTAAAGTTTAGCCACTTAAAACTTCCAATATCAGAAAAAACACTTTTATATTATGTGAATACGTTAGCTTGCGCAGGATAATAGACAGGAGATAATACTACCTATACTGATCGAGGTTTATGAAATCAGGGAATTTTCCTTTTTTATTTCTCGGTTTTCTAAAGATGTTCTACCAGGAATCAGGCAATTATTTATAAAATGTGATAAAGTTTTAATAAATAAGTTCCGACATACGAATAAATTCAATATCTTTTCTTAATATGATTTAGGTGGAGAAAAATGTAAAGACTCGCAATATTAATTTTTTAAGACTTTTTTTTATGACAGCGCACACACCAATTAAAGCGTAATAAATATTTAATTCTTATTAGGTTAAATTCTCCTTCGTGATGCATGCCTTCGTTGTGCAACGGTAGCACACTCGGTGCGTATTCGAGAAGTCCAGTTTCGAGTCCCGGCGAGAGTTCTGAACATTTTTCACATCTCCTGCTTCAAACTGACCTAACTCCACTATATACTCCACATGATTTTGCAGAGATATAGTTCAGCGCACCGTCCTTTACTTTCAAAGAGAACTGGGAAGAACGCACTTGCTTAAATTTGAAATTAGTAGTTATATTAATTCAATGTAAACACGAATAAAAAATTCATGTAATCATTTTACACTATTAGAAACTATCATTGTGCAAAACCTTTTCTTATTTTTTTATTACTATTAGGTTTATGTTAAAGAAAGAAAAGAAGAAAGAATTGCTAATCATAGCTTGACTAAAATCATTGATTCGAAGGATAAAGCAGAGATAATATTCAGAAACTGTAGTTCATGAAGTGAATATTTCTAGAGACAAATAGAAGTAACATTCAGCCGGTAAAAATAGAATTGCATGAATTCATTACCTATAGTTTTGCTTCCGCATCTTCGTGAACTTTTCTTGAGAAAAGGCGGTTGTTATCCGTGAAGCGAGACGCCTTGCCTCACCTTTTTTTAATAACGTCCACTGACCCAAGTCCAGTGTTCCGTGATTGCTTGTTATGTATACATCATTGTTCCTTCCACCTTCATTGTCGAAGACACAGCTACACAAGGAAGCATTATTTAAATCACAAATAGCAAACTAATCTGCCATTATCATTGAGTTAGCAGTTAGAAAAAAGTGTAACGAACGACTAATTATATAACATGTTTTTCCATTTCTCTGCAATTGCATTCGGTATTTAACGATTGATCCGTTACCTATTATTTTAAAAACTTTATTGAGGAAGAATGTGTACATTTTTAGCTTTTTCAAAAATATTTGTTGTACACCAAATATTCTTTAGAAATTAATAAATCTTTTGCCAAAGTGATATTGCACTGTAATGCTTCAACACACAAATATTTTATTACGTATTTAATTTTTAGAGAGATCCAAATTTCTGTTTTTTTATTTATTTTGATTACCAAATTCCTGTATGTTCTTAAAATAAAAATATAATTCCAAATTTAGCACATATTTTAAATTGATTGCATTTGAGATTGAATATTAGCTTGAAACTTGTTGGGTATTGAAACAGGACATCCTTGTTCCAAATGCTTGATTAGTAAATTAATATAATTTCAATTATTCGATTAGAAATTATTCGATTAGCTGTCCTGACCTTTACGCATATCGTGCTCCAAACTTTAATCGAAAAAGGGGTGCTGCTATAAAGAGAGTCCACCAAATAATTGGAAAAATTTATCAAAATGTTGTTAGGTATTAAAAAGAAAGCTTTTAAATACTTAATGTTCTTCGAAGGTGCTGTTTATTATTTTATTCTGAAGGAAGTGGTTAAACTTAAGGAGAACAATTATTTTTCAAAACCTCGAGTTGTGATAGTCGTCACAAAAATATTTTCGAATATTTATAAAGCTTTGGAATATTAGTATTTATTTAATTCTTAACAGGAAACCACTAGTAATTACTACTTTTTGTAGGTTAAACCTTTATCTGCTTGGAGCGAAAATTCACCTTTTCTACAACTATATTACGAATTCAAATTTATTCTTTGATATATTTTTTAATGTTGCGGATAATGTGCTCGCGTTGCTGCCGGATAATCTTATGAAAAGCGGCAATAAGATTTAAAATTGCTTGCAGCAAAGAAAATAAAATTTGCTCCGCATCCTAGCACAACATTGGGAACTTCTGAGAGAGATTTATAGCTCTGAAGCATTCTGTGCAGTTTTCATTCAATTTGTGAGCCTACTGAGGTAAAATGAAATGAGAGCATTGTGTTTTACGAAGCAAACTGTTGATTAAAGCCAGACAAAAGTCTCTTACTATCACTTTTCATCCAATATTTTCGACCACTTCCGTTTTTGCTGACAGAGCAAAATGCGAAACTTCAATGCCACGCTCGAATTGCAGTTTATATATGTCACTGAAGTGGAAGAGAGTATGCTTTTGACGGTTTAGTTTGTTAGACTGAAAAAAAAAATCAGTTATTCAAAATAACATGAAAGCAATAATATAACGGAAAACATCGCTTGTATTTCTCGATAATGTAAACTTATTTTTATTTTTCAAATTGTTTATCTCGAAAGCGTGTTATAACCACAATCTCCAGTTTAGAAAGAAAGAGAGAGAGAACCTACATTTTGGAATATCTAGCAAAATAGTTTGTTTAAAATGATAGCTTTAAAACACTGGGAAGAATGAAAATCAGCTGGTATTCTATTCCCTTTTTCTAATGGTAAATTTTCTTAGGGACACGTAAAGCAAATAAACTTTAAAACTAGACATAACTTAAATCTCATTTCTTCAGAATTGGCTTCATATACTCAATATATTATTTTCATGGAAATTATATGGAACGGAATGAGAAGGGAACATGTAAAGGAAATAGGTTACGCTGATAAAATCTGAATAAATAAGGACAGTATGTAAAGAGAATGTAATTTAACACCGATATTTCAGCTTCCTTATGAAATACGAAAAATACAGGAACTCAAAATAATGCCTTCTGAAATTTCACAGTTCGCAGTATAAAAACTTAATATCTATAATTTCTTGAAATTTCATACTGAAGTCTTCTCTATCTGAAATGTAAATATAAATTTGATTCTATCAGAAAATTCACCACGAACATAATCACCCTCTTAGGTCTGTATCATACACTAAAACATTTTGGGAGAACAATTGTTTAGTTCATTTTTATGCTGTGCCATATGATATAAAATAGCCAGTCACCACTGACCGCTTTTGGAATACTGTATAAAAGGAAAACTGTTGCAAACATAGAAACTGCTAATTAAATCTCCCAATCAAGTTCTTTAGTTCGATGCTACTAGTTTATTGGTTGAAAAACGTAACCATCTGCAACATTTTGTGGAAAGGTGAAAAAATTCGTGCGTCTTTCTTTTAATAGTAAAGCTGATAGAAAAAGTGTTTTAAATAGCTGTTCGTCCAAAACAGACGAATACATGACAGCACTCTTAAGCAGACAGCTCTCCAGTGCTCTGTCGTAATTAAACACTCCACTCAAGAGTTTTAATTATGTACGTCATTTGCTGTATTTTGGTAGCCTTTTAATAAAAATTAGCATATTTTAAAAAACTGTAATCCTTAATTTGTACATCATTAAATGAAGATTTTAAATTTTATTTCAATTAAAAGATTAAGTAAAGATAAAGTTTTATCTTTTATTTCCTCTTTTTCCTATTCTTGTTGAAGTTTTCGAGAAGCTTTTAAGTTCGGATTAGAGAAAATTCAAAAAATTAGCTTTCAGTAATTTATATGATACATTAAAACCAAAAACATGATAAATAGTCTGTAAAGTTTTATTTATTTTGTACAGTCTATTAGGGGCTAAAAATGTGACAATCAGCAGTGCTTTGGCTGAGATTCGAAACAGATCTACCTGTTCGCTTGTTGGATATGCTGACAACTATCGTATTCCAACGTTCATCAGAGAACGAACGTTGAAATACGATAATTTCCTATACTTTTAATTAACACTTTAATGGTTAGCTATTCTTCCCTGTCTGTTCTCTTTTCTTTTCAAAAGATGCGAAGTAGCTTGCTTAAAATAAAAAAAATAAAAAATAACTCTCGAAAATGTGACTGCTGATTTTAATTACAGCGACCTTGCCATTGAGAATATGTTAACATTCTTTTGCAGATTTACTTGGAATTAGGATTAGCGACTTAACAATTTATTTAGGAAGGAATCGTGTAACGGTAACTAAATTGAATATTTTCTTGCAAATTCAGGAATCGATAGTAGAAAAGCCTTCTCCAGAATTATGAAAATGAAACTGTAGGTATTTATTTTCTAGTAGTAGCTTCTGTAAATTTCTTTGAGTATCTTTAGTTTATGTAGATTCTGTCTGGCAACAAATAAATTTTAGTTGCTATGTCAAGTTTACTTAGTTAAATTTTAGTTGCAATGTAAAGGCAGAGATCGAAAACTTGACAGAGTAACTCTAGCAGGACATTAACTAGTTTAGTCTGAAATTAAAGTTAGATTTTTATAACTTAAGTTGATGATGACGGTATTTAAATTATGATTTGTCATAAGACGGAAATGAAACTAACTAAGAGCAAAGGAAAAACTTCTAAAACCAACTGTAAGGAAGATTTTAATAAGAAATTCGTTTACAACTGTCAGCGTACAAGGACTGAATAATCAAAACCCGTTTAAAGTTCACCAGTCTCATGGTTAAAGCAGTCAATCAGTTAAAATTAAAAAGTTAAGGACTTTACCAATTGTTCTGTTAAGTCAGCTCAACTTGTAAAGCTTCTGGCGTCAGGCAAAACAAATGCATAAACAATAAAGAAAATATCGTTTCCAAACAATAAAGAAAAATATTCTTGCAAGAATAATAATATCAGTAAATGTAAGTAATAAACAAATCTTGAAAGAACGATAGAAAATGTTCTCAATTACTTCACTTCTGAATTCCAGCACATCGTGCCTCAATTTGGAAAAGACGATTTAAATTACTCTAGTTCGCTAAGGAGTTTCACGGCTCAAAAGTTAAGGGTTACAGTTTCAGTATTTTAACTAGAGAAATGTAGAAATCCTATATTTTACTATAACAGGGGCATTTTTTATATTTGTAAAATGGATAAGTTAAATATTTCTATAAAGAAAGGTTTTATATAAAAATCTCTAAAAACGTTTTACGAAAATAAACCCGGAAGCTTATGAGAAATTTATTATGAATTAAATTTTCACGGCCGTCTTAAATTTACAATGTCTTTTCATTCTGCATTTCTGAATGCAGGGAATGTTATCTGAGATACCTTATAAATTCTAAATGCTGCATCGTATATTAGAACTTTTATCAACGGTAAATTCGAATTATACACATTAAATTACAAATTATGCTTTGAGTAAAACAGATTGACAGCACAACATAGAGAAATGTTTTATCAAAAATAACAATTGTAGAAAACGACATGCTTATCATAATTGCTATGAAAATGCATACATAAAAAGGTCAGAAGCATGTTTAAACGTAAAACACGTGCCATTTTGCATATTTTACGCAATTTTTTCTTAAGCAGTTTTCAATTTGACTGTAACGAAGAATTTTTATCTCCAGTAAATTGTAGTAAATTTAGACGCATTTGATTCACTGTGTTGCGGAATGTCACTGCGTCATCGGATTGATTTTGTAATTTTTTTTTAATTTTTACTCCAGTAGTTATAGTCATAATTTCGACAGTAAGATCATAAAACTATGAAAAAACACTTTCTTCCTTCTATTCTAAATATTAAAGCTTTGATATGATTACTGAAGTATCTTTCCTAGCCTTACTTGAAATTAAGTATTTATAGTATTCATTCACAATCAAAAGGTGTTTCTCTCTAAGTGAATGAACAGGACTAATGTGAAAGAGCATTCATAAGTTGATCACGTTTCTAAAGTGATAAGTATGCCGTTCGCATACGAAGAGTTTAAAGAATAGTATGTGGAAAGGGATGAACGTCGTACATGTCAAATCCATTCTTAATTTAGAAATGTTCAGCATGATTACAAAAATGATTTCTTTTAATGATAAAATTCCTATCTTAAGCATCTAACACTGAAAGATAGAAGCATTTTCGCATTAAATGTAAATTTAAGTTTTAATTTTTTTGAGGATAAAAATGATGTATACCCTTCAAGAAATAAGAATAATAAAATATTTCTAGGCTTGAGTCGAAAGTCAGAAAACTTTAGAAGAATACACCAGGAAACTTTTTTTAATTTGAAGAATATTTAAGGGAATTAACATAAAAAGGGAAAGAAAGTTGTCATTATATTCTTCAAAACTTCGCTGAAAATTCCTTAAAATACGTTACGCAACAATTTGTTTTAAAATACGTTGTGTATCAAATATAAGTTCCGAAAAATTGAGATGCTCTGTATTGCGCATCATTATACATCAAATGTGAGGAAGATAATTTAGAATGAAAGTTTGCCGATGATAAGAAGTTTCACAGAAAAAGTAAGCAATGTTGTTTAAATGTTTCAGTCAAAAAATAATAAGTACTATATTTCCGGTTTGAAATTGCAGTAGTCTTACAGAAGTTATTTCACTCTACTTACTCGCCTTTAAGTTCATAAATTTACGGGAACAAAGTAATGATTTTTAATGCAAAGTAATGAATTTGAAACATGATCACTAAAATTACTAGAAAAAACCTTACCTAGTAATAATTCCATTACTCTGTGGCATATAGAGAAAAATACTATTGAGAAATTTTTTTAAACATAAAATATGCAGCGCGGGGCCCAACGCAGGACCAGTGCACTGAGAAACCCGCCGCCCATCAAATTCATGAAAGGAGAAACGCATGCTTACCTGCGAGCTGACGCGCGTCTGCCGCTGAAGTGCAGCCAGTTGAACGAAAGCAAGATGCAATGTGGGTCACTGGCTCAAACGAAACAAGTTTTTGCTCGCATCTAACGGCATTTACTTGACTTCCGGAAAGCTTTGAGAAAGATTTTCTATAGGAATTAAGGTCAAGTTAAAGGTCTAATCCGGATCTGATACGAGAATTTTACGTCGTTATTCACATCTGCATTTCATCCTTTGGCGTTAAATGTGATGGAATATTACCTAAATATTAATTTACGGGAAACGAAAAGATAATAGAAATGCAATAAACTGTCATAAGCTCAAAAGAGCAATTATGAAACGGGTTATTCAAGAATTCTGCATAAACAACATACACGCCAACAGTGACGCTAATTTTGAGTATCCCAAGTGCTATAATTAGAGGAAATGGACTAGCAAATCGCTCATGGGCAATGAAATTCTTTAATATTTAAAATAATAAGATCTGATAATAGATAACAGAAGAGTTCAGTACACTGATTTAACAGTTTGTATACTTACGTTGCTAAGAAGAGAAATAGGAAATTTAAAATTTAGAAGAGAGTCATTAGCAGTCTTCTAAACAATAATGCGTATATGAAATAACTATAATTTTTTAAATGAACTAAATAGAGTTTCAAGAACTGTATGGAGATTTATTTAATTTAGCTAACAGTCAAGTTTTTTTTTAAAAGCAACTTTCCGTTGATCCGCTTTTTCACCCATGTTTTCTTGCCAGAAAGTTAAAAAGCTAGCGCGCCTGTATTCAAATGAGGTAGAAAGAAGTGGTATTTAAGGGAAGGTTTGGGAAGGTAATTTTAGAGCGTGTTATGCCTGCTTGAAAACCACATTGCTTTTTTCAATTACTAGAGATTGAATTCTATGGCTTTGAGTGCTTCTAGCCATTGAGCTTGTTTACGCCAACTTCTACGAGTCAGAGCCTTCTTGCGCATTAAATTATCCTGTAAACCGTTAGGCTAAACTTTCTACATTTTATTTTAGGTTCCTTGTTATCTGTTTTGAGTTAAGGTAGAAATGCTGGCTTTGGGCACACCCCACGTGGAGCCATCTGTGAAATTACATTGAGTGAATAGAAGGTTCTTTATAGCCTTTTTCTGACATTTTGTTGTCAATAAGACCTGAGATTATTACTCATACAGTCTTTTAGAGCTCGGAGTTAATGCTAGCCAAGAATACGAGACTCTGTAACACAACTAACATCCTTTTCACTTTTATACTCTTTTGCAAATATTCTCTTCGTTACTCTATTACATCTCTGTTCATGTGACATAAAAGTCATTGAAAGCTTTTTAGAACTTGAAAGAATGAACTGAAGCTTTCACAAGGAATGTTGTTGCAAAAGAAATTACGTAAGATGACTGAGAATATGCTTGCAGAAATGATTGTGGTTTCTCTTAAAGAAATTCAGTTAAATTATATCAGAAAACTCCATTTACAAAACTTCTACAAATCATAGTATTCTCATAGAGATGCTATAAAATCAGCTTTTCTGAATAACTATGTAAGATTTAGAAAAAAATAGCGTTATCTTATATAGTAGTTTCTCCATCCTTTCTGCATGCCTTCGTGGTGGAACAGCAGCACAATCGGCGCGTATTCGAAAGTTCCAAGTCCGAGTTCCGGCGAGGGCATTGCTCATTTTTCACTTCCCCAGCATCAAAATAATCTAATGCCTCTGCAGTGGCGCCGGAACTAAAAGGTGCTGGATGATAATTCGTCACCATCAAGATTTGACGACTGAGTCCCTTAATCCCCAGTTGCCCTTTGAAAGGAAGAGTATATAAGGAATTGCGAAGTAACCACTAAACAAAGCCTGTGGGAGTATATAAGGTATTTTCTCCTTCCTTCCAGCATGTCTTCCTGGTGTGACGGTAGCATACTCAGCGCGTATTCGAGTGGTCCGGGTTCGAGTCTCGGCGAGGGCATTGCTCATTTTTCACCTCTCCAGCACTAAAATAACCTAATGACTCTACAATTATTACAGTTTAAGGCTACTATGAACTGTAGCCTAAAAACCTATTACAGTTTAAGGCTACTATGAACTGTAGCTAAATGGTTCCCTATGTATTCGTTGTCAAGCGAAACCAACTTCTGTATGCACTTTAGAAACCAGAATTCTAAGCTGCTGAATACAAATTGAAAATAATCTTTTTAAATGCAAGCTTAATATTTAATTTGTCATTTAAAATTATTCTATCCAAATGGCAATGCAATTAAATTTTAATACTCTTTAAATTCCGATTCAGGCTTGGTTGGTCGCGTGGCGTTCGGAATCTGCATTTTTCATCAAAATCCAGTCGTTTATCTATGTGCAATTCACTCATAATTTACGTTTTGTACTCAAGTGTAGATCAGGATTTTTGATTCAGAAATGAAACAGAATTTGTTTTAACAGTAAAAAACTTTCTTGTGTTAGAAGAACTACTAGTTATAAATTAGTTCAAACAATCATACGAAACTGAAACAAAATAAATTAGCTAAGGAAACGGTAGGAAGTTTTACCAAACTAAAAAAGAACAAAAGAAAATCCATCGCTTATTGATGCTGTATTAAAACAATCAAAATTTGAAATAGCACTATTTGAAATAAGTGCACATAGATCACTGAGAAAGCTTCTCCACCCGATAGGAAGGAGCATAACAGAATTACCATCGATTATTCGGAAATGTACCGAAAGTCCAGAAAGGATAACATAAAGGAAAAGTTCGGAAAAGTCCAGAAATAGATAATATAATATTCAAGGGAATCTAAATTAGAATGTGAGTTTCTGAGAAAGATATATTACTGCAATCAAGAAAACTATAGTCTTTATTCAAACAGTTATAAGTCAGCGTGTAAACGTCTTCCTCTCATTGCAGGTACCTGAATAATGTACAAACAGAACTTTCTCATCAGCTCTGAGCTTCAAACATTTTTTTAGCTCCGTATATGAAAGAAATAAGGAATTTCATCTATACTTCTTAAGGGGAAATAGGAAATTTTATTTTCTAGCCGAGGAGATTTTTAGTTTATTCTTGTATTAGACAATGCTAAGAAAGCTTATATATTATTGATTGGTGTATTCGAGTAAACGTCTTATGTTACATAGATGAAAACGAAATTGTGCAAAAGCATTCGTTAGCTAAGCATAAAGGGATTTTGAGATGATGGTGAGACTTCTGTAAGCTAACTCAGCTTTCTGTAAAGCTCTCTGTAAGCTAAGTCAGGGCAATAAATTCGTTTTCAGAGCAAATGTCTGTCTTTACTGACGATGTTAATAATTTGGTCAATTAATATTCGAAATAGTTAAAAGGTTTTTAATCTGAGGATGAGGAGAATGAATGTACGATTGCAAAGCAAAGTAATAAATGAAAAAGCCCAAAATGTATTTAACGAAATTCTTTCTCGGTTTTGGTGACGAGGAAAAGAAAATTGTTAATAATTTTTTTTTATTTTAGTTACTTAATTTTTTAATACATTTTCGATTTTTAAAGTCCCATTATAAGTTTTAAGGGAACGTATGACATACAAATTTTCAAATTTTCAATTTTGGGTTAAAAAAAAGAAGTAGACTGAGACGATTCTAAAAATATATAATTTATGCAGGTTTCGAAATTTTAAAAGACCGAAATCTTTCACTACAAAATGTAAACAAGCACTAGGAAGTCCACCAGTTTAGAAGGGACAGATGTCTGGTATGGTTACAATAAAGCCTTATCAGCTGATAAAATGTATGTTCGTAAACATTCTTTGCCAGAACTTGTTTCATTAGCTGTTAAAAGTGTCTTTCTGGCAAAAAAACCTACTGTCAAATTGCATTCATAGAAGAACTCAAAATCCGATTGAAAGTTTTAATAATTGCATCTGGACATGCCTACCACAAAGTGTTTTTGTGCGTGTCATCACATTAAAATTAGATTTGTTCGATGCGATAATATGTTTAAATGATGGTGTGCAAAGCAACAATCAAGTAACGAAATTATTAGGAATACAACCAGGATTTGGTAAAGTCTTTGCGAAAAATAGATTGTGATAGAATTCGTGAAACCCATCTCGCTTACCAAAAGCTCTCTAAAATGGCCAGAAAGAAATATAAATTAATAAAACAAGAACTTGATGTAGAAATATCAATTCAAGACGATAATTATGCAGGAAAATATTAAAAGGATATTTTTATATAAATGATTGGGTTTCAATGGTTTTTTTTTTTTTTTTTTTTTCATTTTTCTCAAAATGTGTTTTTTTAACCTTTCGGTACACTTTTCTTGAAACCTATTCAGCCTGGAGAGTTTAAATTTTCCACAGTTGTTTATCTTAACTATTTCTTTGAAACTATGCAGGATATAAAATTTCCGATCATTAATTTTGGATATATAAAAAATTTAATTCTATTTGTTTATGTGACTTTCAAAACATTTTACGAATTTATTTTTACTATTTTTACTAGTTTTAATTTTTTAACCATCATGCAACATTTGAAGGAGTTCGATGCAGTATTCTCTAAGAAAAGTGTGTAAGGATCTTAAGTTTTACTAACGTTTATTTTACTTTAAAACTTTACTATCTTTCTTATTTTCCACTTCCGGCCAGAATTAAATGCTTTAACTTGTTTCTGCAAACTGTACTTGCTAACACCCAAGTATTTAAGTTGTGGCCTTTTGCCAAGAGTTAGAGAGAAAGGGGAAGTGAGCCGTCTTGCCACTGCATTCTTTACGAGTTTTCCATCAGTTGCTGCTTGCCTTTAAGGCCAGAGGTTTAGTCCTCTTGATATTTAAAACGTATTGTAGTTTCAGCAGTTTGCGTACTACCTACGTACCCTTTTAAAAAGGCCAGTCTTAGTGTTAAGCATTTGTAAACTAATTCAAAATTAGCTTTTAGTTAGTAGTTTTATATTTTTACGTTCAGACCACAAGTGGTTGGTCTCTGTATCCCGAAGTACGGGAGTAGTACCTGTAAATTAATAGAGAATAAAGGGTTCAGTACACCCTTCCTGCTTGTGTCGTCTATTTCACACATACTTGAACATAGCTTCAGTAAGCTGTTCAGGATACGTAATATTTTCAAAGCAAGTCAAAAGACGTACAAGTCCTGACAAGTGTATCAAACTAGCAAACTGTCACAAA